CACGTACCAAAAATAGGATAAATACAAATTCTTTTGCACACACACTGTATATAAGTGTTCATTTCATAAAATAATAAATAAAAACAAGAATGACACAACAGTCCTGGACTGATATTGCACCATCTGATGGCACGTACCAAAAATAGGATAAATACAAATTCTTTTGAACAAAAACTCTACCACATTATTTTTTTCACAAATTAAAATCCAGATGAAAATTAGCCATGAAAACACACAAAAATACTTGAGGTTGTTTATTGTACCCATTTAGGGTCAGGCTCTCTGCTCCTGAGTTGGGGAAGTGCAATGTGCCAAATGTACCAAATGATTGTTGGTGTTGGCTTTAGTGTTTCCAAAGGCTGACTTAAAAACTTTGACAGGAATCAGCAGTGATGTGAGGTCAGATCCTGTTGTTCTTCTTCAGTACTTCCAAATATTGCTGCGCGGCTCTGCTGGCGGGGTCTAGCTCCACCCTGGAGGCAGAGCCCCCCGGGGACAGGCGCATCGAGGCAGCGTCCAGCTCTGCTGTGGCTGAGGACCAAACACAGACCAGTCAGCATCTGATTACAGCTACTGCCTCATGTTTCTGAGCTGCACTTCACTCACCACTGCTTAATTCCTTTGATATGTTTCGGTCCAACTCCCTCTGCATCTGCAAAAAAAATAAAAATTAAAAAAAAAAAAAAAATAAAAAATAAAAAAAAAAACCCAGTTTGTTTATAGCAGATGTTGGAGAAAAAAATAAACTAAAAATATGGTCCAAAAACAAAACACACGTTTAAAGAAAAAGTAAGTGTAGATGTCACCAAAAACAGAACTACAATAAAAAGAGGAAAAACACTTCAACAAAATCCGTTTTGTGTTTTTGTTGGTACAACACAGCAGGTCAGGCCAAACACTCGAGCTCTGTTCTAATGCAGATACATTAAGTTTTCTGCAAACCATTGAAAATAAGGAGAGGATTTTAAACAATCAGCTGCATCAGAACTGTTCACCACAAAAAAAAAACACTTTACAGAATAAACAAGTTTTTTTTCTGCAAAATCATTTGATCAGTTGTTCTTTTTAAGTCTATAAATGAATCTTACACAGAGAAGAAAACACACAAAACATTGACAACTTTTGTTTTCTCAAGAAATACACAAAGATCTAAAGAAATGAGCCAAATAATGAACAGGATTTATGTTCTTTCTACACAAACTCAGGCAGGTGATAAAACAAAGTATAATCTGCAGAACAAAGTACTTCAGTTGTTTATTAAATTTTCAGCTCATAACCAACGAACTAACAAAACTAAAGAACTATTTGAACAGTTTTCACTTTGCTCTACTTAACTTCTAGAACTCTGTTTAGACTTTCTGTGTCAACTTAGTACACAGTATTGTGATTTGTTTCAGCAGCAAAACAAAAATCAGTCTGATATGTTGCAGTCTCAGACTAAAATTGAAAAGAGAGGACAATTATTACAAAAATCCTGCTAAACATTAGGAGGCAAAACAAACAGAACTGAAAAAACATTAAGAAGCAAATGTGCTTGAAAATAAAAATTACGTCCATGTTCCTACTCTGCATGGCTGGAATAATTACCACCTTTTTTTAGCTTATTGTGAAAATATCAACGATAAAAAAGTGTAAGTGTTATATAGTCATACATGTATCTGTTCTATGCATTTGATCCATCAAACCTGTGAGTTAAAACCTCTTAAAGTCTAACAGCTGCTTTGAGTTTTTTTATTAAGTTAAAATCTTAATCTTAAAGTCTATGCCAAAGTATTGCATAGAAATCGACAATAAGCTTTCATTTAAGTTGATATCGAAAATGTTGTTAAGAAGTTAAATGTAAATTTTTTTTCTTTAGAAATAGATCATGTTTTTCTTTTAGTGCTAGGAAACATCTTGTCTTCATGACCTTTCTGCCCCTGTTGGCCTACTGTGACGTTGTTTATGTGAATGCACCTGTCACCTGCCTACACAGGTTGGACGCTGTCTATCACGGTGCACTAAGGTTCATAACAGGATGTAAATCTTTCACTCATCACTGCAGTCTAAGGTGCTGGCCATCATTAACAACTCGTAGGCTCATGCACTGGTACATTTTTATCTATAAAACAATTTTGGGATTGTTCCCGCCTTACTTGTCCTCATACCTTTCACTTAGACAGTCCGGTCTCAGGCTACGCTCTCAGGACTCGCTCTCCTTCAGTGTTCCATTAATACGGTCAGAACTTGGACAAAAGTCATTCTCTTACTCTGCTCCGTCAACAAGGAATGCCCTACAGCAGGATCTGAAGTTACGTACTTTGACTCCCTTCGGACAATTCAAATTTCTTCTGAGACAAAAAGAGAAATCTTCTTATGAAATGTGCTCTTGTTTTTAGCTCGTTTTATTAGCTTATTTATTTGTGTCCGAATTTTTTATTTATTTATTTTTGTTTTGTTTTATTTTATTTTTATGTTTTTGTGTAACTACTTGTGTGTTTTGTAATTTTTGTCTTATAGCAGGTCTCTCT